AGAGAGAGAGAGATAGGGAGAGAGGGAGAGAGAGAAAGAGAGAGAGAGAAAGAGAGAGAGAGAAAGAGAGAGAGAGAAAGGGTACAGAGAGAGAGAGAAAGGGTACAGAGAGAGAGAGAAAGAGCTTCAGCATGCTTTTATTTGATGGAGTGGAGCAGGTGTGGTAGTGGTGAGGGTGGGATGAGGGTGCATAGCATTAGCTCACTTTGTGAATTTTAAGCACAAAAAAAAAGGACCACATCATCCACTTTCTGCAATTTCAGGGCGAAGGAGCAGGGTAGGGGCTAGCACACAATATCAGCCTTTTCTTTATCATGGATTTTTCAACAACAACATTTTTTTGACGGCTCCCCAGACACCTCAATGACCGTACACGCAGGTACATGCAGGTTCACGTCCTATGTACACGCAGAAAGTGTCCCCGTCAGAGAGTGAGCGTCTCCATGACCGTCTTGGGTACACACAGACAGCTTGCCTCGCGTCGTCTCCTCATCGATGAGTGAGTGAGTGAGGGTGTGAGTGTGTGAGTGAGTGTGGGAGTGAGTGTGTGATTGTCTCGATGACCGTCTTGGGTACACACAGAAAGAAAGCTTGCCTCGCGTCTTCGTCTCCTCATCGATGAGCGAGTGAGTGAGGGAATGAGTGTGTGAGTGAGTGTGTGTGTGAGTGAGTGTGTAAGTGTCTCGATGACCGTCTTGGGTACACACAGAAAGCTTGCCTCGCGTCTTCGTCTCCTCGTCGATGAGTGTGTGAGTGTGTGTGTGAGTGAGTGTGTGTGTGTCTCCATGACCGTCTTAGGTACACACAGAAAGCGTTCTCTTCTTCTCATCTCCTCATCGATGAGTGAGTGAGTGAATGAGTGAGCGAGTGTGTGTGAGAGAGCGTGCGTCTACTTGATGGGAGGTTCGGCGCCGACCGCCACCCCGTGCCCGCTGCGGCCGCACGTCATGTTGGTCACATCAAACCACTTGTTGGTCTCGGAGCAATACACCTCCACCGAGGACAGGAAGTCGTCGCCGTCATAGCCACCTGCGGGAGTCAGTAGATGAGATGAGATAAGATACATCTTTTTGTTTTAGCAGAGGTTTTACGGCGCTCGCAACTGCATAAGGTCATATGAGCGCCAGAAGATTAGAGGCGTTACAAGAGAGTAACAAATATAAAAAAGAAGGAGGGGAGATAAGGACGATAGATGTTTGATAGGAAAGAAGGAGCAGACCACACCAGAGCACCCATCAATCACCACACAGATACATTTTTATTGTCCAGATCCTGGCACATTGATTTGGTGTTTCACGTGTACACACACACATACACACACACACAC